TCGCTCAATTAACGAAAGACAAGAAAGAAAAAGTGTACGCAATTTAAACTACCTCTACACACACACACACACACACACACACACACACACACACACACACACACACACACACACACAGAGCTTCCTGAGATGCAGGTTTAGACAAAGCCTTCCTCAGCTGTGCACGCTGGACACGCTGGACACGCTGGACAGTTATTCGAAATACTCAGTGCTGTGCAAAAGTCTTAGGCCCTTTAGCACATGGTTTAAAACTATTTACCTTGGCAGTAAATTTGTTTTTGCCTGTAAAATCACATCATATCACATCATATATCTGTAGAACAGATGCAAATTTTAGTGCACAATTTCTATTTATTTACTGAATTTAACAAATTGGAAAATAGAAAATGTTCCATAACCTTTGCACGGGACACTTTATGATTTGTCTTTTTCAACCTGTTAAATTCAGCAAATAAACAGTAATTGTACAATAAAATGTGTGTGTGTGTGTGTGTGTGTATATATATATATATATATATATATATATATATATATATATATATATATATATATATATCTCACACACACAAACACATATATGACGAGGTGGTGGTGTTTTAGTGTATGTTGTGCTGGTACGAGTGGATCAGACACAGCAGTGCTGCTGGAGTTTTTAAACACTGTGTCCACTCACTGTCCACTCTATTAGACACTCCTACCTTGTCAGTCCACCTTATAGATGTAAAGTCAGAGACGATAGCTCATCTGCTGCTGCACAGTTTGTGTTGGTCATCCTCTAGTCCTTCATCAGTGGTCACAGGACGCTGCCCACAGGATGCTGTTGGCTGGATATTTTTGGTTAGTGGACTATTCTCAGTCCAGCAGTGACACTGAGGTGTTTAAAAACTCCAGCAGCACCGCTGTGTCTGATCCACTTATACCAGCACAACACACACTAACACCACCACCACCACCACCACCACCACATCAGTGTTACTGCAGTGCTGAGAATGATCCACCACCCAAATAGTACCTGCTCTGTGAGGGTCCAGGGTCCACTGAAGAACAGGGTAAAAGGGGGCTAACAAAGTATCAGAGAAACAGATGGACTACAGTCTGTAACTGTAGAACTACAAAGTGCACCTATATAGTAAGTGGAGCTGATAAAATGGATAATGAGCGCAGAAACAAGGAGGTGGTCATAATGTTATGCCTGATCGGTGTATGTGGAATAAGGTTGGTCCTCCACCAGGATTTTCTGAAGAACCATTTGAGCTCCAGATCTTTGCTGCAGTCGCCCAGAGTCCATTTAGAGCTACCAATCAGCTAATGTTCCTTTCGATTGTCTGAAGCCATAATGTAGTCAGTCACCCTGCTCCATTTCACATGACCCCACCCAAACTTCTACATTAGTGGCCAACCAGCCAATCCTGCCTTTCTCCTTACCTCTCTCTTCTTTCTCACTTCTTTATTCTGACCAACATCTCTCTCTCTCTCTCACCCTCTCTCTCTTTCCTGCCATGCCTCACTCTCTCGTTCCTTTTCTCTCCCAAGGGAAAGCTTGTCTGTTGCAATGTGGCCGATTTATTAGGCGAGGAGAAGTCCCGTGGGCCCTCTGCAGTAACTGGATTAGAGTGAACACTCAGTGCTCCTAATCACATTTCAAGAGTCGCTCTGCGTCTGTTCCTGGCTCCACCGCCCTTCCGTACTCTTTTCTCTTTTCTTTTTTTTTGGAGTGCTTTGGAAGCTGAGATGGAGTGGTGATTCACCCACTTCTTAATGAACGAATAGGAGGGGTCCTGAGTGGCCACTGCGCCAGGCCCTCACTAGAATTACTCTCGGCATTGATTCCCTCCCAGTGACCACCTACAGAGGTTCACAGCTCTGGGCTGCATGTCAATTTGTTTTAAGATATTATTACAAATAGCTAAATTCTTATGTACTGTGCCTACAGCATCTCTCTGAACATCGAACTAGAGTGAGAATGAAACTGCTGTGCCATCCTTGAACAATGCCTGTGCTGTCTAGCCCTGAACAATGACTGTCTCGCAGATTGTCACAAGTGGCTATTTATGTGCCTAACTGTGAAACTAATGGATGAAATTGAGTGGAAAACTGAAAAGTTCCTCCCATGCTGTCTCTTCCCCATTTATAGTGACAGAAACCATAATGGCCAAAAAGTCCATGACTTTTCTTTTAATCAAAACACCATAATTAGAGTAATTAAGAACAGGTGGGCAATTTATCTCCTGCCCCTGACACTGCAATGCCAAGGTCATTGGGTTTTACTGGACCACTCAGCAAGCCAGCCCACAATAGCTGATGTCTCTCATTCAGTCACTGACTGATTGGCCGACTCCCTTGGTTGAAAGATGCATGCACAAGCGCCGCCTGAGAACAAAGGGCGACACTATACACTATTAAACATCACCCTTATACCCTACCAAGGCAACCACTGGCTGGGTTTACAGGCAAAGAGTTTTGCCAATCCGATTGAATACATTCCAATTACAGATGAAGACTGAGGTGTTTTTTCTCACTCTACTCAACAATCTGATCCATATGTGTTTACATGCTCACTACAAGCAATCCCATCCAAGACTACGTGCATGCATAGAGAACCACTTAGTGTAGATGTTACCATGACAACCAGCATCACGTGAGTCCAGTCAGAGTGAGATGAGCAGCAGTGAGCAGTGCTTGTGTTTTTGACTGCTTTAAAATGATGTCAGACTCAGGAAAATGTCCTTCACATGTCCTTATTAAAGAAGGCCGAGAGGAAGACGTCGTGTTCTGAGACACATAAGCTGGACGTCTGTCCCACCGCCGTCTTTTAAAGACCGGAGCATAAACTTCGTCTCCTCTGCAGACCAGTTTCTGCTCCACCATGTTAAACGTTATAAACTTTCACTATGACGTGACGCACATGATCAGAACAGACTTAAACTTTCCGACAAGGAATGTAATAAGATACAGGCGTTTACACAAATATTATTCTTCTATTTAACGAATATTTACAGGATTACCCACCTCGTTTAACCAGATAAAAACTGGACTCCAAATGGCCTCAATCAGACTAGTCTATTCTGACTGAGGTGTTTACATCGATGTATTCTAGTCCGATTGATCTTTTAGTTGGATTATTAATGGATTATTAGGCTGCATGTAAACGTGGCTAATGTAAGGCTATCATATATATAGTGGAAGAAAACAAAACACATTAATTGACTCGTTTTCATTACAACAAAAAACAAAGACCACATCATGGATAATAATAATAATAATAATAATAATAATAATAGCACTGTTTCGGGTGAGGAGAAAGTCATCAAGCACTGGAAACTGGAATATGATGTTGTGGGTCAATCACTATTTTTAGAATTAGCTTTTTAAAGAGTTTGCCAAGTTACCATTCACTACCATTCACTATTATTCTAACAATTATCACAGACCCTGCACTGCTCATTTGAAGGCACAGGATAACAACTGCCAGCACAGGATAATAACAGTATGGTGGCTCAGTCAGGCAGGATTGCCACTGCTATTATATGAGTCCCACATAATCATACTGACAACTTTATTTACCTGTACATTAAAAAATACTGAAAATGCTACAGAGTAGTAGTACCAGTAATAATACTACTACTGGTAGTAGTATTCCTACTAACTTGTGTATTGACAAAAAGGTGTTTAAAATAATCTGGCTGGTAAAATGTGTGCTTTCCTGAAACACTGTAGGCAAGTGGACTAAAAAAAGTACTTTAACCCCTTAAAATCTCAGGCTTATTACATACTACACTCTTTCTTTAGTAAAGAAAATGGTTCTATATAGAACAATGAACACTCTGCATGATTAAAGCGTTCTCTGAAATGGTGAAAAGTGTCCGACGTAGCACCGAAAAGGGCTCTTCTATCACTACAAGCTTGACACTGTAACAATAGAAGAACCCTTTGAGGTGCTTATATAGAAACATCTATAGCACATTCATGCGTATTTTCCATCAATCTGAAGAACCCTTTCATGATACAAAGAACGCTTTATTCATGCAAACGGTTTGTTGAGTGTTCATGGTTCTATATAGAACCATTTCCTTGACTAAAGAACCCTTGAAGCACCATCTTTTTTTAGGAGTGTAAGGCTTATTATTCAGTAACTACAGTACTAACTGGCTGAGTTTGGGCTCACTGACGGGCCCCAGCCATTTAAGGCGGTTAACACCCAGTACATGTATATAATCATGTACTATAGACACTAGCATGACGAATGCCAAAGCAGTCCAGCAAAACTAGGCCTGCCTAATCTTGTTACACACATACCTGAATTGTGATGGATCTAATACAATATCTAACCCTAGTCCTCGCATGGCTGGGTCGTATTTTCTGCCTGATTTGTCATTTAGAAAGTCCAACATATAAGACTACTTTTATCCAGTGTCAGATTTTACAAAAACTATGGCAATGCAATGAGGAAAAACTGTTCCAGTTGGATTTGGTCATAAACATGTATAAATCCATATGTGCTTTGAATTTAATCGCTGGTCATGTCACATATAGTGATGTCCGGGCTTTCTCTATGCTTCAGTGGTACCACTTTTGAGGCTGAAGACTGGCTTCCTTAAACTGCGCAGCAGTTACACTGTGGTGCCTGTAGGCCCCATAATGTAACCTCTGCACCTTTTAAGGTGAAATGGGATAATTCAGAAAAGAAAGAAACTGGCAGATAAAGAGCTAACTTCAGCCTCATACCTCCTTATTCATGCAAGTAATAACCACCACTCATATATGCTCATACGACCAAAGAATGTAGTAAGCACATTAGTGCTTCTGTTGAAAAGGTCATCATCTTGTGGTGTATGGTGCCATCATGTGGCCGGACACTGCTTGAAAGCTAGAATAATGAATTGTGTCACTTAAATGATCACTTCTGCATGGAAAAGGGTCAACGTGTGCATTTCGGCTGAAATTAGACCCGTTTTGTGTTCAGTTTTTGGGTGGAGACAATTATAATCTCATAGCCTTACCTCCCATTCCTTCATGAAGTGTTTCACTTCTTCTGGAGACGCAGATTTGTGTCTGCGAAACTCATCCTTCACGTACTGATCACCAAGGGCTCTCAGGTCAATGGGCATAAAGCGATGCAACATCAGAATTCTCTTATAGAGTGACCGGACCCTCGATATATGGCCTGAACTGGCCATAGCACTGGAAGAAATATCCCTCTGTGTTACCTGCGGCTGTATAAGTCTAGTAATGACCTGTTAAGACGTCAACATATTAAAAAGGCAAGCAAAAGCTGAGAAGTTCTGACAACTTAAAGCACATTTGCAGATAGAGGTGGGCGATACGTCAATATAACAACACTTCAGGGCGTCTTTTCATACATGATGTGTCACAATATTTATCTTTTGTGACATGTTATGTGTGAACAGACAAAGTAAGGTCATATTTTCAAAAAAGCTTTGAATTCAATTACTTGCATTCAACATTTTATACACTTTTCAGCCCTAAATCCAGTTAAAAAGGACTAATTATGCCCTGTTGTTTAACATATTTCCCAGCTCTGCTTGCAGATGCACAACATAAACAAGGCAAACTCTGTTATATCTAGCTAGCCAGCTAGTAGCAACAGAACAAGTTAGCTTAGCAACAACTTACAGATCCCTTTATGAGCCCTCAGCAGCTTTTTAAACACTGTAATATTCAAGCACTGCTCTTTAAAACCCGCGTTACCGATAAAAAATATAATGTGGCTGGTTGTAAACGCGATATATCGCAGACTAGGGCTTTGTATATAACGTTAATTCGTGTCCTTGCTCACCGCTTACCAGTCATTTCCCTCCCCACCCACATTCCGTCAACTCACGCCCACCTTGCGCTAGGATTGGCTAGTAGAGTCCAGCCTCCTGCGCTGTGATTGGCTACACCCAGGCACACAGCCAATTGGAGAGTGAGGATTTAAAACGAGTGAAGCACCGTCGTGTTCTGCGGTTGCTGTGGCAACGCGGGCACCTTCGCAACCGTCTGATTCGATGGAGCGGCTTAAATGTTGAGAAGCCAACCAATCACGGCGCAGAAGGAGGCACACAACTAGCCAATCATAGTGAGCCGGGGCGGGAGTTGCGAGAATACGGGTGGAATAAGAAACGCTCGCTTCTACGCTTGTCTTTCGTCCTCGGGACTCGTTTGGGCGTGAGTGCCCTCCTGTGTTCAACACGTCCATGGATGGAGGTCCAGAATAACCGATTGTTTCCCTCTACTGACCATCTTAACGCTGTGAGGTGAGGATTAATACTTTAAACGCCTTAACTAACCGACTGCTCAGTTTCTTAAACCTTTTTTAAAGCCTGCACTGACTTCTTTACGTACAGTCAAGAAGCACAGCAGTCATCCTTAAAGTAGCACTTCAATGAACACTAAACTTGCACTTATTAAAGTCAAATTCCACAAAGGTTTCAAAATTTCTGCACAAGTCAACTGTTGAGACATAAACAAAGACATTCAGATTGGTTTGATGGAAAGTGGTTAAGTGTAGAGACACTTACAGAGTCAGATGTCTTTACAGTGGTGGTGATAGGAACCAGGGGTCACCATGTCTACATCACAAACATAGCCATTTTATTTACTATCCAAAACCACCAGCGAACCTACACGAGTCTTCTGGGTTTTATATGTAAAGTTAATGATGGTAAAATAGTGGTAAATATGAAAAAATATGTTTTCTTGGGGGACTATTTTGCCTCACAATGCCCTACATGTAGCTCTCCACCTCTCAGAGTGTATTTAGAGAGGCCTATTGAGGCGTTCAGTGCTATTAAAAGAGATTCAGCTTTCTCTTTACTAACAGCTCTAAGTGCTCCTACACACATATCCCTCTGGGCAGAACTGGCCCTACTTTCACAATAAAAGTCCTCAGCAGAATAACTCTGAATAAATGCTGAAGAATAAATAACCTAAAACTAACATGTAAACATTTATTGAACACACTGCAATATGTTATATGTCTGAAAACTACTGAAAAACATTACTTCACAATGTCTCCAGCAGTGATGGTGATCAGACGACGCACCACCAAAGAAGGGAAAAGGAGAAAATTGTTCTATCACATTCTACCAGAGTGTTGCACTATCTGATGTTCTAGACTGTTTGTCCTGCCTATGAAAGTCATAGTCCAATCAACATTAACTCATGTTCCATACAGTAAAGCCCCTTTTGGGCGATTTCAGTTGGTTGAAAATCACCCACATTGGTCTGATCTAGTGGTTACTCATGTTGATACTGCAGTGTAATCTGTGCAGGTTGCTGGAGGGCTAGCACTAACATGCTTTTGTCCTACGTACCCTGGGCTGCACTCAGCCCCAACAAAATGTAACAAACCTTTACTTAAGTGAAAATGGTGGTGCATTGAACACTCACACAGCCGAGGAGGCCATTTTTGGCGTCCTTCTTGGCGAATTTTCAGAGCCTGATTAAATAAGTTTAAACACGTGTTTAATACTTCAAAACACATCTAACGTCTTTTAACTCTTCCAACATCGCGCACACCAAGCTGCTGCGGGTGCATTTGTTAAAGACTTTATTAGAATGCATTGTGTGCACTGCTTTTTTAATACAGCAATGTTTATATACACATTGCTGTTGATTGGGTAACACTTGTGACACACCCATCAGACAAGGGGAAACATCTCAAAGACTGTTGTGCACCTTTTCACACCATTTTGACATTTGCTGTTCAACCCAAAAACCATAGCAAAACATTGCACAGCACTTTGAGATTGAAAGGGCCCCTGGTGTCAGGATACCTGGGGCAGCTAACAATCTAGTGCCATCTAGTGGTTACTAAGTAATGTGCACTGTCACTGTAGTAAGTACTACTAGGCTATGCTTACATTTATTTGTTTAATCAGAGCACAACTCCCCACAAAATACATCTATACATCTAGATTTGTTGCACTTAAAATAAAATGTTCTGATAAAGACTAAATCAGATCAATTTTATTTGATTATGGTAAAACTTCTCTCTCCCCGCCCATGTTCAAAGGTAATTATGAGGGCAAACTGATGGATGACAGTTTATCTGTTGATGACCACAGTTGATTATTCTTTGTAGAGCCGAATTCATTTTATTCAAGAAGACAATTACAATGAACTCTTGGATATTGCTGTCCACAAATATTGTACAGTTTGAAGGTTAAAGAGAAATCTTTAATGCGCCCACCAGCTACCTATTGTTTTCACAGACATCTGTAACATCTCCCTAGAGCAGGCTGCTGTCCAAACATGCTTCAGATCAGCCACCATCAACCCAGTGCCAAAAGCATCCTCTACAACCAGCCTTAATCACTACCGCCCGGTTGTGCTGGTTTGTTGATGGTCTGGTTACAATCCATTCCATCAACAATGAGCTCCCACCAATTTGCCTACAGGCAAAACGGCTCCACGGAGGATGTCATATCCACTGTTATACACCTGGTCTTATCACACTTGCACAACAAAAGACACTTATGATAGACTTTTTGTCGCCTTCAGCTCAGCATGCGACGCCCAAGAAGCTAGTCCAGCAAACTCCACTCACTCAGATTAAGCTCATCTCTATGCATCTGGATCCTAGACTTTTTGAGGAACAGACCTCAGGCAGTCAGGATCCAGAACAGATTATCCCACTCCATCACTCTGAACACTAGAGCCCCCCCAGGGCCGTGTACTGAGTCCTCCGCTGTACATCCTGCTCACTCAAAACAGCACTGCCAAAGCAATCACACCAAGTTTACTGATGACACTTCAGTTGTTGGCTCTTCTCCAACAACAATGAGGCAGCCTACAGAGAGGAAGTGAGGAAGCTGGAGCACTGGTGCAAACATAGATATACATACCTAGATGCCGTGTTGGGTCCAGCCAGGCACGTCAACAGCGCCGCCATTTTAGGGCGGTCAGCATCGCTGCTGGACTGCATTCAGTACCGTTACAGAGCGGCAGTTTAAGAAAGATACTGTCCAGAATTACACTATTTCAGGAATATTGACTCAGAAAGTGGGATAGGATTATATAACGGAGGGAACGCAGAGATCCACACTCATGTCTGTGTGATGTGTATTGTTTGTGAGATGTTTGTGTAGATATGGTTGTGTGGTTAATGAGGCACAGAGAACCTGTTGATGTGATTGTTTTTCGTCTGGTTTTATATTAAGCTAATTTCATTTAATAGTCTATTCAGGGGTCTTAACTTCATGTAGTAGTTATTTATTTACAGTGATGGTCGATGCTTTGTAGCTCAGTAAGTTATATCTATATATCTTTTGCACAGTACTGTACTATTCAGTGGATTAGTATAAAATGGTGAAAGACTTGTTTTTGTGGTGATGAGCATTAAAACTGAAACGATGGTACGATGAGGGCCGTTAAAAAAAGGCCAGTACGTCCCATATCCACTAGCTCCTGGTCCAGATATTGTACTGATGACTACTAAAACTGAAGTTGTGTATAATATTATATAGAAAGTAAAAGTAATGTGAGAATGAAAGCTAATTAACATAGAAGCGTTCTACTAACCGAAACTCTGCTTTGGCCCAGGTTTTTGAAGTATATGATAACTGGATATACTCATAAGCATTTGACACTGTTTTAATTTCTCTTTGAAATAACTGAGATATTGAGATTAAACTCTGAGGTTGTATGTGAAGCAGAGTGCATTTCAGTGTTTGGTGTCAAATCTTAAGAGTTTTTATTTTTACTTTTTTTTAGGTTTTAGTTTCCTGTGCAATAGCAATGAATCATTTGCTCTCTGGCATCTTCTTCTCAAGTGGAACTGCATTGGGATACTTCATACTAAATATTTTAATGAATTTTAAAACAAATGTAAACTTAGCCCCACTCCAAAGCCCAATCAAAAAGACTCCTGTGATGCAGGACATTGGTAAGTTTGCATATTTATTATCTTCTACAGAAGAAAGTGAACACTACAAGGAATGAGAAAGTGTGAAAAAATATTAAAGGTAAAAATGAGTGAAGCAAACAGTCTGCGAAGAGTAATTTCAGTGGCCAAGTAACAATTCCATGCTGGAAGTGGTAAAAACCTGAAAATCCATCTGCATCCATGAGGAATATGCAAAATAAATACCAGAAAAAAGAAATAAAGACATTGACTGACACACACACACACACACACACACACTATATATATATATATATATATATATATATATATATATATATAGAAACGAAATATAGATATATACATTCCTTAATCCATGTAGATATTCGTCATATAAATTTAATATATCTTCTCATACAAAGCCCCCCAGCTTTGGAATAGTCTTCCAGTCAGTGTTCAAAACTCAGACACAGCCTCAGTTTTAAGTCTAGGCTAAAAACCCACTTGTTTAGTCGAGCCTTTGGTAATTAGTTTTTCCTGTTAGATAAAAGGTGCAGATCTGGGGGTTCATGGTCAAAGAGTATTATGGTAAACTGGGAGTGTTGGTGCCGTCGTCCTGCTGCTCTCACACACTCACTCAGGTTTCTCTGCTGAGTTGAACAGCTGCCCATCCTGTGGGTCTGATGCTGTTGCTTCATCTGCCCTGATCGAGTGCCAAATGCTCACCAGCCTTCTAAACCAGTTTGACCACCTTGGATCTTCCTGCTCCACAACGCTGTGTAAACCTCACCTGTATGAACTGACCCTCCTGACGCTGCTGCTGCTACTGCACAGACTCAAACTCAAACTATCTAATTACAACCATTGCTTCACCTGCTTTTCCCATTTTCTGTATTTTTATTTTATATTAAAATGGTAAAACCTTATGCTCTGTTCATTTTGCTCTTATGTTATTGACACACAACTGCCGTT